GAGAGAGAGAGAGAGAGAGAGAGAGAGACAACAATAATGAACGGTCGGTCGGCCATTCTGTCAACAGGTGGCGCCACCGGTTTCACTACGCGCAACACTGAAGTAGCTGCGTACTAAATGAACGCTGCTAGATGATTATAGCATAGAATTAAGCATTATAGCATAGAAGCTTTTGCGATGAATAATATCATATAACGTAATATGAACAGATGCGAACGAATAACGAATGGCCAGAAATGTCATGATCTACGCGATGGCACGGCTAGGCACGCCGTTCTGCACGCCAAGTATCACAACGGAAAATTACTTTCCAAACATTCTGCATCTCATTAGAGGTTAGTAATTAGAGGTTAGTAATTAGCAGACAGAGTATGGACGCTACTAAAAAAATTGCACCTGGACGACCAGGAACTGCATTACAGCTTTGTGGCCATGTTGCCTTTCAGCGAGAAACGTGAGAGCAAGGAGGAAGAAAGAGGGAGAAGGCACGCTGTGCGAGCGACATTATCTGAGAGAGAGAGGCGTGCGGCGTATATGGAAACATCCTGGCTGGCTTCGTGGTATTTAGGACACCGTTATGTGACGATATATAGGAGAAGCCTGCGTCAGAGATGACGCAAACACATGAAGAGTGGCATAATCAGATGAGCGCAAATGCGTCAGAGAGAGAGAGAGAGAGAGAGAGAGATAAAGAGAGAAAGAGAGTGAGAGAGAGTGAGAGAGAGAGAAAGAGGAAAATTTCCACCAATAAGCTGTAATGCAGATCTTGGATACGCACAGGAACCTGATAAACGAGTTAGTGGCAAATTATACATGTTATCAACAGAAGAGAACAAAATGAAATATGTTTTAATTAATTAATACAAAACGCACATTTTCCAATGCACGTATGTAGGACACGTACACACAAACACGAGACAGATATACAATCACGATAGGTTAGGAACAAATGACAAACACAGAATAAAGAGCGATAGGATGAGTTAATTAGAAGTGCATACACACACAACATTAAAAACGCACTCACAACACCGCGTGTGTGTACGAAAAGCATACCCAAACCACACAATACACCGAGAAAAACCATACAGCCAACGACACCGCCGCACACAATTCTGAAAAACCAAAGTTCACTTCTCACCTACAACATTTCAGACGAAAATCGACGAGGTCTCAAAGGAATATCTGCCTATTATGGGAACTTACAAAGGCCACACTACAGCAATGTTCGAGTATAATTAGCAGACAATATGCTGCAAAATATCAGAGCTTCTTGTTACATAAAGAGACTTAACACTGTGCTGTCTAGGGGAATCAAAAGTGCAACACCTCACTGCATTAGTGCAATCCATAGATTCACCGCAAACAGCAACAACGTCACATGCAGTACCCACGCAGACGTCACTGTGACGTCACACGCAGAACCTACGCAGACGATCGCTGTGACGTCATCACCGTCATACCACGCCATGCCTCACGACTCTACAAATCCTAAGTTTCTATCGATGCAATTCTAATGCAATGCTAAAATGCTAAAATAATAATAATAATAATCCATCACTGACTCGCTTAGTGAGGTACACTAGACGATAAGAAACCCACATAAGTAATTATGAATTTTTTGCATTTCACAAGTTAAAACAATACTCTCGAGAGAGTGGCATGTCTAGCTAACTCCCGAGCTAACAAGCTTCTCTATTCCCCAGTACAGTGACCACGTCTACGTTAGCTACTGCGCAGGCAAACACACACGCTCGCGCCTCACAAGCAGGAAACGTACGTTATAAATATATATGTATATTTATATATATTATTATATCTGTATTCTGGAATATACACATAGGAGAAATACACAAGATATACAACGATATATTAACCTCACAAGTATCGTTTCTTTTTTATCATGACTTCCTCGGTTCATAGTTTGTCGTTTTTTTTCCCGTTGAGATCATTTGCCGAAGTACGCCCTTTTTAGTTTTTTCCCTTTAACGCGCCTTCTTCAACCGCGTATTATCGCACGATAATTTCCTCCACTGTTTGGGTGCTTTTAACGTAATTGTGACTTCGATCGGACTTAAATTCCCCTCTAATATCATGGGGGAGGAGCCCTGACTAGCGTTGCTCCGTATCAGTGAGTTTCTCTCGAAGTTCGCGCACCAAATAAGAACTTGTTTTCGAATCCGCGCGATGTCGCGCGCTTATCAGTCCGAGACGTTAGACACCAGCCGAGGAATTCCAACGATTGCCGGCGCGCGGAATCTCACGGAATAGCGACCGCGCGCAGCTCGGCGAGATGACGACGTCATCGTGACATCATCATCCTCTGTCATGCACCCGGCGTTTAAAAGCACCCAGAATTTAAACACAAATGCCTCTTTTTCGTACTTTTTTTTTTCTCATCGTTTTACGTATGTATAGACCTTCTTCGTTAGTACAACTCAGACTCTTCATTATATATATATAACACTTACGCGAACGCACGCGCGCGCCGGAGTGTATCGTATATATACCCCGTGTCTATGAGGACAGCCTGGTATACCACTGCTACCACCCCTGCAGCTGCTGCTTATTCCATCACTCCCCCTCCTTCTCCAGCTCCTCTTCCTCCTCCAGCTCCTCTTCGTCCTCCTCCTCCTCCTCTCTAGCTCTTGTCTTCCAGCTCCTGCAGGGTGTGCCACTGCGCGATCGGTCGCCGTGGCGACGCGAGCATGTCGCTCCAGTGACGCAGCGCCGAGCCGCAGGCATTGCAGCCGAGGATGGCTCGGCCGATCGCCTCCGACGATCCGATGCGATCGTAGTCGACGACGGTGATGTGAAGTGACACCTTCTGCTCGGCGTGTGTGAGCGAGAGAGGAGCGCCGCGTCGAGAGAGAGAGAGAGAGAATGATCGTCAGAAATACATAGGAACGTGTACGTGTGTGTGTGAGAGAGTGAGTGAGAGAGAGAGAGAGAGAGAGAGAGAGAGAGAGAGAGAGAAAGAGAGAGGGAGAGAGAGAGAGGGAGAGAAAGAGAGATAGGGATAGGGAGAGATAGAGTGAGGGTGAGAGAGAGTGAGGGAGAGAGTGAGAGAGAGATAGATAGATAGATGGAAAGACAGATAGCTAAAGAGAGAGAGAGCGTGAGAGAGAGAGAGGCGAGAGAGAGGGAGAGAGAGAGAGAGAGCCAGTGTGTGTGATTGTGTGTGTTAGTGTGGTGGTCAGTGTGTGACTTTGTGTGGTTAGTGTGTGTGACCGTGTGTTTTGTTAGTGTGTGTGACCGTGTGTGACCGGTGTGGTGGTGAGTTTGTGTTGACCGGTGGTGTGGTGCGGTTATGAGTGTGTGTGAGGCCGTGTGTGACGCGTGTGTGGTGAGTTGTGTGAGCCGTGTGTGGTGAGATGTGTGTGACTGTTGTGTGTGACTGTGTGTGGTGAAGTGTGTGTGACCGTGTGTGGTTAGTGTGTGTGACTGTGTGTTATATTGTGCAGTGTGTGTGACGCAATGTGTGGTTAGTGTGTGTGACCGGTGTGTGGTTAGTGTGTGTAGAGCCGTGTGTGGTTAGTGTGGTGTGACTGTGTGTTAATTGTCAGTGGTGTGAACGCATGTGTGGTTAGTGTGTGTGACCGCAGTGTGTGGTATAGTGTGTGTGACTGTGTGTTAATTGTCAGTGTGTGTGACCATGTGTGGTTAGTGTGTGTGACCGTGTGTGGTTAGTGTGTGTGACTGTGTGTTAATTGTCAGTGTGTGTGACCATGTGTGGTTAGTGTGTGTGACGCGGTGTGTTAGTGTTGTGTGACGCGTGTGTGGTTAGTGTGTGTGACGTGTGTGTGAGCCCGTGTGGTGGTTAGTGTGTGTGACTGTGTGTTAATTGTCCAGTGGTGTGTGACCATAGTGTGGTTAGTGTGTGTGAACCCGTGTGTGGTTTAGTGTGTGTGACGTGTGTTAATTGTGCAGTGTGTGTGACCATGTGTGGTTAGTGTGTGTGAACCGTGTGTGGTTAGTGTGTGTGACTGTGTGGTTAATTGTCAGTGTGTGTGAGCGGCCGGCGGGCGCCGGGCCGGTCCCGCGCCGTGTGGTGGTTAGTGTGTGTTAGTGTGTGTGACGCGTGTGTGGTTAGTGTGTGTGACGCGTGTGTGACCGGTGTGTGGTTAGTGTGTGTGAGCTATGTGTGGTTCCGTGTGTGTGACCGTGTGTGGTTAGTGGTGTGTGATCGTGTGCTGGTTTAGTGTGTGACGCGTGGTGGTGGTTAGGTGTGTGTGACTGTGTGTGGTTAGTTGTGTGACCAGTGTGTGGTGAGTGGTCGTGTGACGCGTGTGTGGTTAGTGTGTGTGACCGTGTGTGGTTAGTGTGTGTGACCGTGTGTCTATGCAAGCAGTGTCATATATGATATAGCAAGCAGCGTGCGTAGGTGTATATTGTACATGACGGTTTTGTGTCGGAAGGGCTTGTCATTAGTGGTAGATGTAGTTCATACATAGACTGCCACCATCATCATTAGCCATCTCTATGGATTGCACTAATGCAGTGAGGTGTTGCACTTTTGATTCGCCAGCTAGACAGCCAGCAGTGTTTAAGTTTCTTTAAATGTAACAACGAAGCCTGATATTTTTGCAGGCATATTGTCTGCTAATCTATACTCGAATTTGCTGTAGTGAGGCTTTTGTTAAAGTTCCCAATAAATAGGCAGATATTCCTTTGAGACCTCGTGCCGACTTTCGTCTGAAAATGTTGTAGGTGAGAAGTGATACTTTGGTTTTTTCAGAATTGTGTGCGGCCGGTGTCGTTGGCTGTATGGGTTTTTCTCGGTGTATTGTGTGGTTAGGGGGGGGGGGGGGGGGGGGGGGGGGGGGGGGGGGGGGGGGGGGGGGGGGGGGGGTGGGTTATGGCTTTTTCGTAACACACACGGCGGTGTGTGAGTGCGTTTTTAAATGTTGTGTGTATATGCAGCTTCTAAATTAACTGCATCCTAATCGGCTCTTTAAATCTGTGTTTGTCATTTGTTGCCTAACCTATCGTGATTGTATATCTGTCTACGTGTTTGTGTGTACGTGTTTTTTTTTTCCCCCCGCTTTAAAAACAAATACGTGGCATTGGAAAATGTGCGTTTTTGTATTAATTAATTAAAACATATTTCATTTTGTTCTCTGCTGTTGATAACATGTATAATTTGCCACTAACATCGTTATCAGGTTCGCTGTGGGCGTATCCACGATCTGCCTTACAGCTTATTGGTGGAAATTTTCCTGCTTTCTCTGCTCTGGCTCAACTCTCTTGCTCACTCCTCTTTCTCTCTTATCTCTTCTCTCTTCTCTGCTCTCTCTGCCGCCTCTTTTTCTAGTTTCTATCTCTATGCTGCTAATCTCTATCTCGTGCGCTCTTCAGCTCATCTCTGCTCGCGTCTCTCGTCGCTCTCTCTCTCCTCTCTCCGTCTCTTTCTTCTCTGTCTCTCTCTCTCTCTCTCTGCGCTCTCCTCTCCGCTCTCCCTCTCCGCTGCTCCTCTCCCTGCTCCCCCTCTTCACCATCTCCCTCTCCCTTCTCCCTCTGCTCTCTCCCTCCTCGCCTCTCTCTTTCCCTCGTCCCTCTCTGCCCCCTCTCTCTCTCTCTCTCTCTCTTCTCTCTCTCTCTTCCCCTCTCTCTCAGTCTCTCCCTCCTCTTTCTCTCCGCGCTGGTCCCTCTCTGCCTCCCTCTCAGAGTTCTCTCTCTCTCTCTCGTCTCTTCTCTCCTCTCTCTCTCTCTCGTCTCATCTCTGCATCTCTCGTCTTCGTCTCTCTCTGCTCTCTCTCTCTCTCTCTCTTCTCTCGTCTCTGCTCTCTCTCTCTCGCTCTCTCTCATCTCCTCTCTTCATCATCTTCTCATCCTCTCTCTCTGCCTCTTCTGCTCTCTCTCGTCTCTCTCCTCCTCTCTTCTCCTCGTCTCTCTTCTCTCTGCTCTCTCCTCTCTGCTCTCGTCTCCGCCCCCTCTCTCTCTCTCTCTCTCTCTCTCTCTTCTCTCTCTCTCTTTCTCTCTCTCTCTCTCTGCTCTACTCTCTCCTCTCTCTCTCTCTCTCTCTCTCTCTTCCTCTCTCCTCCTCTCTCTCCCGCTGCTCTCTGCTCTCTCTTCTCTCCTCCCTTGCTGCTCCCTCTCTCTCTCCTCTCTCTCTCTCCGTGCTCTCTTCTCGTCTCTCTCTCCTCTCTCGTCCTTGTCTTCTCTCTCTCCCTCTCTCATCTCTCCTCTCTCTCTCTCTCTTCTGCTCTCGCCGTCTCTCTGCTCTCGTCTACTCTGCCTCTCTCTCTCTCCT